CGGGCTTTAGATCAGTAAGGAAAAGAACACGTAAAGAATAGAAGAACAGTGTATTCTAAATAAACAGGAGTTGCTTGGTGTGTCGCTGTGTCTTGGAAAATAACGGGGAAGGGAGATAGACCTTTTTGTTGTTTAGGATGCTGTATTGTAAGGTGATCTGGGCTAACTCACTCGCAAAAATGGTATAGTGGATATTTAAAGGATACAAGTATACTTAGATATGACTGATGTGGTTAACTGTGTCGATTTGCAAGTATGCTTTGCTTTTAAACTATTATCGTTTTAATATCAAAGGATTACTAGTATATGTGTGATTTATGGAATGATAAAAACCGCCATATATTTTACGATTTTTTTTCTATACACCCCGTAGCTAGTTTACGTTCACTGTATTGAAAAAGAACATTTCACATTTTTTTGGTGGTAATGTAAATAACATACATGCTAAACTGACAGGCTTTTAGAGAACAGAGTTATCGTTTTATACAGAATTCACCAACACTACGTAGACCTGATCACAAACACTGGCATTAATGAATTTGATATGTAAGGAGAAGGAGGATGAGGAGAATAAGAATAAAAAATAATGATAAGAGGAAGAGGAGGATGTTGATGAGAATGATGAGGAGTTAGGAAGGAATAGAAAGAGGAGGAAAAAGAGGAGAAAGGAGGAAAATGAGGAGAAAGAAAGGGAGGAGGAGAAGTAGGGGCATAGAGGAGGAGAAATAAGAGCACGGAGGAAGGAGGAGAAGGAGGAGAGGGGGAGGAGGAGAAAGAGAAGACTAGAAGAGGAGGAGAGAGGAGGAGAAGAAAGAAGGAGGAGGGAGAGGAGGAAGAAGAGGAAATGAGGAGGAGGAATAGGATCAAAAGGAGAGGGGAGTCGAATAAGAGGAGGAAGAAGAAGGAAGAAGAGGATAAGGAGGAGGAAGAATAAGATCAAAAGTAGGGGGGAAGAAGAGTAGATGGAGAGATGGATGAGGAGAAGGAGGAAGAGGAGGGGAAGAGGAAGAAGGGGAGGAGGAGGAAGGAGAGGAGGAAGGAGAGAAGGAGGAGGAGGAGGAGAGAAGAGAAAAGGAGGAGGAGGAGGAGAAGACGAAAAGGAGGAGGGGGAGGAGAGAAGAAACGAAAAGGAGGAAGAGAAGGAGGAGGAGGGGGAGGGGAAAGAAGAGGAAGATGAGAAAGAAAGGAGGAGGAGGAGGAACAGGAGCAAGAGGAGGAGAATAAAGAATAAAGAAGACACACAGAAGAAGAAGAAGAAAGAAAGAGAAGAAGAAATAATAATAAAGAGGAGTAGAAGAGGAGGAGGAGGAAGAAGAGGATAAAGAAGGGGGGGGGTGCGAGAGGGGAGAGGAAGGGAAGGGAAGCTAAGGAGGTCGAGCTTTATCTGCCGGCAGGACAGCAGGACGTGGGTGGCGTCCCAGGAACCAAGATTTATGTAGACCGTCTATCGCTCTCCCTGTGACCCTACACCGTCTAACTCTGTCACCCTGCCCCTGCCCCTCCTTACCCGTGCCCCTGTCTGTGTTACTCCGTCACCCTGCCTGCCATGCTCCCGTACGTGCCTGTCTAGTTGACTCCGTCACCTGCCCCTTCCCTTCCCGTTCTGTGTTTCCGTGTACCTCCTGTCCCTATGTTGACACTCCGTACCTCCTGCCCCTGTGCCCCTACCGTGCCCCTGTCTATGTTGACCTCCGCACCTGCCCTGCCCTGCACCACGTGCCCCTGTCTATGCTTACCTCCCGTAAACCTGCTCTGCCCATACGTGCGCCCTCGTCTATGTTGACTCGTTCGTCCTGCCCATGCCTCCTGCCACTACCTGCCCTGTTTCTATGTTGACCTCCCGTCACCCTGCCTGCCCCTGCCCCTACCCGTGCCCTGATCTATTTTGTACTTCCGTCACCTCTGCCCCTGCCGACTAACCGTGCCGCCTGTCTATGTTGACCTCTCCGTTCACCCTGCCCCTGCAGCCCACCGTTGCCCTGTCTATGTTGAACCTCTCGTCACCCTGCCTGCCACTGCTCCTACCCGTGCCCTGTCTATGTTGACCTCCCCGTCCCTGCCCTGCCCTACCCTGCCCTGTTAGTGTTGACTCCCTCACACCCTGCACTTCCTGCCTTATTATACGTACCCGTGCCCGATGTGTTGATCCGTCCTACAACCCTGACCTGCCCCTACCCTACCGTGCCTGTCTATGTTGACTCCTGTCACCCTGGCACTGCCCCTAACCGTGCCCCTGTATATGGTTGACCTCTGTACCTGCCCGCCCCTACCCGTGCCTGTCTATGTTACCTCCTCGTCACCTGACCCTGCCTGCTCACTTACCGTTGCGTGCTGTGTTTACCTCCGTCCCATACCCCTGCCCCTGCCCCTAAGCCGTAACTGCCACTGTCTATGTGACGCTCCTGTCCCCTCGCCCCTACCGGCTGTCTATGTTGAGGCCTCTTCTGTCACCCTGACCTTTGCACCTACCCGTGCCGCTGTGTTATGTTTGACTCCGTCACCCTGCCCTGCTGCCCTAACGTGCCCTGTCTATGTTGACTCCTGTCACCCAGCCCTGCCCCTGCTACCGTGCCCCTGTCTAGTTGACCTCTCCGTCACCTGCCCCTGCCATAGACGTGCCTGTTCTATGTTGACGCTCCTGTCACCTGCCCTGCCTGCTCCTATCCGTGCCCTGTCTTATGTTGACTCCGTCACCTGCCTGCCCTGTCCATACCGTGCCTGTTATGGGTTGACCTCGTCACACCTGCCCTTCCCCTGCGCCTACCGTGCCCTGTCTATTTGATCTCCGTCCGTCACAATCTGACCCTTGGCCCTAACCCGGGTGCCCCTTGTCTTGTTTATACCCTCCGTCACACTTGGCCCCTGCCTGCCCCTACCCGTGGCCCTTCTATGTTGACTCCGTCATCCTGCCCTGCCTGCCCCCTACGTGCCTGTCTTATGTTGAACTTCCGTACCCTGCCACTGCCCTGCCCCTACGTGCCCTGTCTATGTTTGACCTTCCTGTACCAGCTGGCCCCTGGCCCCTAACGTAGCCCATGTATATGTTGACTCCCGTACCTGCCCCTGACTGCACCCTACCCGTCCTGTCTATGTTGACTCCGTCACCCTGCCCTGCCCCCATACCGTGCCCTTCTATGTTGACTCCTGTCCCCTGCCCCTTGCCCTACACGTGCCCCTGTTCTATGTTGACCCTCCGTCACTCAGCCCTGCCCTACCCGGTGCTGTTATGTTGACATCTCTGTCACCCAGCTTGCCTCGCCCCTTCCGTGCCCCTGTCTATGTACATCCGTCACGCTGCTCGCCTGCGCCCTACCGTGGCCCTGTCTATGTTGATCCTGTCAAAGACTGTCCCTTGCCATGCCCATAACGTCCCCTGTTCTATGTTGAACTCCCGTCACCCTGCCCTTCCCCTGCCTACCACGTGCCCTGTCTATGTTTACCTCCCCTGTGCCCCTGCCCTGCCCCTACCCGTGCCCCTGTCTATGTTCGACCTCCGTCACCTGCCCCTGCCCCTACCGTGCCCCTGTCTTGTTGACTACCCTGCCCCTGCCCTACGTGCCCTGTCTACCTCCGTCACCCTGCCCCTGTCCCTGCCCCCTACCCGTGCCCTGTCTATGTGACCTCTGTCACCAGCCCTGCCCCTGCCCCTACCCGTGCCCCTGTCTTATTGTTGACCTCACGTCACCCTGCCCCTGCCCTACCCGTGCCCCTGTCTATGTTGACCTCCTGTCACCCTGCCGCCCCTTGCCCCCTACCGTGCCCCTGTTATGTTGACTCTGTCACCCCGCCCTGCCCCTGCCCCTAACCCGTGGCCCTGTCTTCTGTATGACTCTCCGTCACCTGCCCTGCCCCTGCCCCTACCCGTGCCCCTGTCTATGTTGACTCCTGTCACCCTGCCCTGCCCCCTACCCGTGCCCTGTTTATGTTGACCTCCCGTCACCTGCCCCTGCCCCCTACCGTGCCTGTCTATGTTGACTCCCCGTCACCCTGCCCCTGCCCTGCCCCTTACCCGTGCCCTGTTATGTTGACCTCTCCGTCACCCTGCCCCTGCCCTGCCTAACCCGTGCCCCTGTCTATGTTGACCTCCCTGTCACCCTGCCCCTGCCTGCTACCCGTGCCCCTGTCTATGTTGACCTCCGTCACCCTGCCCCTGCCCCTACCCGTGCCCTGTCTACGTTGACATCCGTCACCGGGACTCTGCCTTCCCTGCCTCCTCCCCGTGCCCTTCTATGTTGACCTCCCGTCACCCTGCCCTGCCCCTGCTCCCTACCCGTGCCCCTGTCTATGTTGACTCCTGTCACCTGCCTCCCCCTACCCTGCCCCTATGTTAACCCCTGTCACCCTCCCCTGCCTACCGTGCCCCTGTCTATGTTGACCTCCGTCACCTGCCTGCCCTACCGTGCCCTGTCTATGTGACCTCCGTCACCCTGCCTGCTGCCCCCTACCCGTGCCCTGTCTATGTTGACTCCCGTCACCCTGCCCCTGCCCCCTACCCGTTGCCCCTGTCTATGTTGAACTCCCGTCACCCTGCCCCTGCCCTGCCCCTACCCGTGCCCCTGTCTTATGTTGACCTCCCGTCACCTGCCCCTGCCCTGCCCCTGCCCCCTTACCCGTGCCCCTGTCTATGTTGACCTCCGTCACCCTGCCTGCCCCCCCTACCCGTGCCCCTGTCTATGTTGACTCCCGTCACCCTACCCCTGCCCCTACCCCGTGCCCCTGTCTATGTTGACCTCCCGTCACCCTGCCCCTGCCCCCTACCCGTGCCCCTGTCTATGTTGACCTCCCGTCTGCCCGCCCCTGTACCCGTGCCCAGTCTATGTTGACTTCCGTCACATTGCCCCTGCCCTGCCCCTTACCCGTGCCCCTGTCTGTGTTTACCTCCCGTGCTGCCCTGCCCTGCTTCCTACCCTGCCCCTGCCCTGCCCCCTAACCGTGCCCCTGTCTATGTTGACCTCCCGTCACCCTGCCCCTGCCCCTGCTCCCTACCCGTGCCCCTGTCT